ATATATATATATATATTTATAATATATATATATTTAAAAAATTATATCTCATTAAATCATGAAGTTGTATGGACTTTTGATTGAAATTATATAAATATTGTTTTTGTTATGAATTTTTTAATTTACACATAAAGAAGGAGATGTAACTAATTCACAATTCTGATATAATTTTTCTATCAAATTAAATTAGCTCTCAAGTCATGTTTCTTATATTTTTCGATATATTTGGTCAAAATATGATTTCTATTTTAAGGACTATTTCTACATTTATAATATCAATAAAGAAAATATGTATCAAATATTTTTCTGTAAATTATAGGTATCATTAAAATGTATGATTGATACTTTGATATATTTCATTTTTAGTATGATACTATTCGAATCATTATAAGCAAATTATTGATATGACGAATATATATGTTAATACACGTGTAACGAAGATAGTTTAATGTAAATTTAAATTAAATTTTTATATATTAATTTTTGTATTTGTTTTCGCTTTTAAAATTGATCTTTTAAAAGTATTCTATGTATGAATATGTATGAATTAGCATTCTTACATATATATAATTTTAAATAAAATATTCTATATAGCATTTTAGCATGTCTAAAAAATCTAAATTTTATTATTCTCTTTATTACATTTTTATTAAGATATAAATAAATTAATTAAGCTCTTTTGAGATACTTATAAAGAATATAGTTAGAAAAAATATTAGATAAGACTGGAAAATTATAATTTATATAATTATAATTTAAAATTATAATTATAATTATAATTTTAAAAAATAATATGGTTCAAATAGACCCAAATAGTATAAATATAGTAATAACTAGACTGTGAATTTTTTTACGCGATAAATAATTAAAAAACATATCACATATATGCAAATAAAAAATAATAAAAAAATACATTTTTAATAACAAAACATATTTCTATCAAGATTTCATTAATTTATATCCTATAAATTATGTATTTGCATAAACATTCACAATCTATTAAAAAAAACAAAAGAATTAATTTAAATCTCTATATATGTTTTTTGTCTCGTTTTTCTTTTTTCTTTTTGCACTTTTCTCTTTTTCATTCGAGTTTAATAAGTAGATTCGCGTTTCAAGAATCGGATGTTTAGCGTCCTGTGTATCAAACAGAAATTGCTTTGTACCACGGCCCACTTTAGTTCCTCGACGAGGAATTTGCGAGGTTAATCGCGCTACTCTCAATTAGTCGCAGCATCTGGCTAGTCCATTAGCGATCATATTTTTTCTTTCGAGCGATTGTTTCGTCTTTGATCGTTCTTTCTATGTCATCTATATTCAAAAGTATTTAAATCGAGCCACTTAAAGTCTTTCTCAATCGCGATAAAAAAGACATTTTATATATATCGAATGGAAATGGTGAAAAAAATATTCTTTCTTTAATATCATCAAGTTTTATTTAGTTATAAAAATCTTCATAGATTATTTTTAATTAATTTACAAAGAAATTCATATATTCAATTCAAAAAGTCTTGATTTTAACAAAACATTATATATATTTTATATGAACAAAGTATTATTATTACATATTATTACATACAAAGTATTATTATTGCATCGATTTTTTATATTTTAAATTTTAATTTTACCTAGAATTATTTTTTAAAAGAT